GAGCCTGTAGAGGTCCCCTCCCGCAACCACCCCGCCTCCTGGCCCAAGACGCCCCAATTTCAGACTGGCCCAGGCCCCAAACCCCGCTACCCGGGCGCCCCAAACACGGCGCAGCCAGCAGCTTGGACTGCGGCTGCATCCTCTCCCCAGGCTGCGCTCTGGAAGGTTCGAAGTTAGAAGGGTGGCCTTCCAAAAAGGAGGTGCTGCGCTTCACACCCTCCTTCCCTCCCCTTGTCACCACAAGGGCAAAGAGGAGATTTCAGGGCATTTGTGTCCAGGAACAGGATCAACGTAACCAGCCGCGGTATCTGACCCGCTCCGCCGCGTGGGTACATCGCGAACACACCGCCCCTTAGGCACTGCGGCAACGGGAGAAGGATGATAGGCTGCCTGCCACCACACCAAGACTGAAGTCTTGGTTTTTCTGAAAGATCCCCTTTGGGATGGTCCCTGTGGGATCCCTGTCCCATTAGGAGGGTCAGATGCTTTTACAAGGCCCTCTGCCTCCTACCCGTGCTAGTTCCAACCTCCCATGAGCTCAGCCTGTATCGTCTTGAGGACAAGAAAGGCTGACAAGGGCAATCCTGCCCTTACACCTACAACTTTTTGCATGAACAGGCAGCGAGATGCCTGACGCAGGGAAATGGTACCAGGGAGATAAAAGGGTAAGTAGGAACGGGCTTTTCCCACACATGCCGTGGGAAGCGAGAAGAGCAGCACATCCCAGTGGGGCCAAGCTGCTATCTTTCTATGCCTGCTTGCAGACAGCACCAGAGACCTCCCGAGAGCCCAGCACAGCATCCTTACTCCCTCACCGGCTGCATGGTGCCCCCAGCAATGATTACAGCACGGCCTTCCTACCACACCTTGGCACAGTGGACAGCTGGATTCAGCAAGAGGAATTTGAGGCTGCTCTGGCCAACTGTGCCTGGGAAAAGGAGAGAGGCAACATCAGGAGCTAGCTGTGACGCACACGCTCAGGGATAGAAGGGATTCTCCCTCCTGTCTTGGGCACTCTGGCAGGTCCCCACCTCTCAAAACAAGGACTTGCTGCTATTCAGCACCGCCAGGGGCAGCAGCAGGTAACGCCAACCTGGAAGTTACCTGCTGCTTCCTATCTTCCTGGAGCTGTGGAAGCGGTGCAACAAATTGCAAGACAAAAATTGCCATCCAAAGTGGGAGCAGAGCTCTGCAAACCCTGGCCCCAATGCCCTTGGTTAAGAATTCCTTTGCGTTCATCAAAGTCCTCACACAGACTGAGCCTGCCAGCCTGCATCACGGACAGCACAGATGTGTTCCGGCAGGGCTGCCAGCTCCCCCCAGGCTCAGGATCTCCTCCCTTGCTGCCGGTGAAGTGCCCTGCTTGCGCCTCATGCCGCCTCTCCCCAGCTCGCCCTTTCCAGTACCTTGCCTGTTGAGAATGACTCTGCCATCTTGGTTTGCATTCGTGAGGGCTGAGAGAAATCCTTCAATCTGCATCAGTGGAGAGGCAATTCGGAGCTGGTTGTTCTCAGCCTCCACAGGAGGGCTCTGGAGAGTACCTGCTGGCCGGAAGAGAAAAGGAGAGGCAGGCAACTCAGGCCACATTTCTGAAGACAGGGACTAAGCACAAAATATAGATGGGTCCTTTCGACAGGAACATGATACCTGGCCTACATAATGCAGGCAGAGAACAAAGATCAAATAAAGGAGAGAACCCAAATTCTGTCTCATTGCTAGGAAAAAGAAAAAAAAAAAAAGAAAGATCTGGCTTTGGTAGCTGGCACCACTAAACAGAGCTACCCATGGTAGCTCAGGTCCCAGAGCCAGCAGGTCACAGCAGGGGAAAGCTTGAGCATGTGCACTGTAAACAAGGAATCACATCATTCAGCTTGGAAGGGACACCTCGGGAGATCTTCTAGTCATATATATAGTTGCCTAGGTCATCTAGTCATATATATTAAAAAACACCTGTGCAGGACAGCTTCTGCAGTCTACCACTCTTCAAATCTGCCTCCTCCCTCTCCTCATGCAGACAGATGAGGGCTCCACATCTTCACTTTGTCGTCAGACACTCAAGCGGAGGATGTCTGAACTCACCCTCTTTATCTGATCCCTGCTGGAGGGTCAGAAGAAAGTTCTGCAAACCAGCCAACTTCTGGTTCTCCTTGTTGGTCTTCAGAGCTGTGGCAGGGCCTCCATATCGCTCCACAAACCCAAAAAGCTGCCAAGCAAAAGCCAGGAAGACTC